ATAACATAAAGATGTTGACGATAAAACTAAAATTTTTTAACGAATCTTTGGAGAACCTAATTAAAGCTTCAAGAAATATTTTTCATTTTGAAAATTCCTTTTAAACCCTAGATGACGCTTTTTTTACACTAAACAATTGCTAAATATTACAAAAGGTCAAAACAAACTGAGAAAAGTTAGATAACTACAAAATATTAGAGTAAATGTATCTTAGCTACAAATGTGAGGCTTCTGTTGAAGATCGAACTCAACATATACGTCGACTAAATAAGCTCGTAAACAACTGCCCCACATAGGTGCTCTTAGTTATTTAACAGTCTAGCACAAAATTATAGTCAGAATCAAACTCATTACACGGTGATAATGGTATATGGCCAATTGGTTTATATTATAGTACCCCACACGTTCGTTCGTTCTTTCTTTCTTTCTTTCTCTCCATATATATATATATAAGAATTCTTAGTCCGACCTACTTCGCAAAATCAGTATTTAAATAACCAAACAAGAATCCTTATTTTAGGAAGTGGGTCAGGCCGAAAACCTTTCAACACACTTGACCCCTCTCTCTCTCTCTCTATATCTATATATATATATATATATATATATAATAATGTTTTTATATTTAATTCAACATACACACACACACACATATATATATATGTATATGTTAGGAGGGTTAAGATGTTTCTATCTATCTATCTATCTATCTATCTATCTAGCTATATAGCTAGCTATCTATCTATCTACCTAGCTAGCTCAGTCTATTCATATCTAAGTATGTGTGTATCTACCTTAGTCTACACATGCCTATCTATCTATCTATCTATCTATCTATCTATCTATCTATCTATCACCTTCTTGTCCCTAATCCTTAATTTCTGTACTGAACTCGTCCCTTGTAATAATTCCAACCGTTTATCAACTTCTTTTTCCATCTATTTTTTATTTATTTATTTTCCAAAAACTCCCCCCCCTGTTTATCTGTTTGCCTTTCGTTCGCATTTGGGCGCGGCAAAATTGATTGATTAGGGAAACGCATCTGGTCTTAAATCAAAGCAACTCTTTTAATTTGTCGTTTCCGCTTTCAACTGATTGATGTGTGAGTATCGTACGCACCGCCCCTCTAATATTCCGCCCCACCCACCTCTTCACACATCTGAACACGTGACCATTACCCCAACAAACTTGGGTGTAAGTTGATATTTTCGAAAAGCTTTTCGATAATATTTGAATTTATCTTGTTCGTTAGAGAGACGAAAATCACGTGATCTCAATCATTTTTTTTTTTTTTTTTAATTCGATGCTGATTGTTCGTTAGCAAGCGACTGTGGCAGACACTCACCAAGACGGGCAATTAAAACAACCGCTTCGTGCTACAAACGAAATTGTTAGCACATGATTTCCCAACTTGGAACAATGTTTAACTTTGGGAATTATATAAAAATATTCACCCATATGTATACCCTACCGCACACGCACACACATACACACGTAACAATCATTATTATCATTTTCTATGTGCCGTGTCCATTTAGGACGTAGGCGAGGATATCTATTCTAAAACGTCTTGTACTTTGTAGCCAGTGGTGTGATTCAAAAGATTTTAGGAGAGGGTCCTCTCAATAACAGGTCTCAATAGCAATAGGTTTTTCATAGTCTATACTTTACTATATAGATGGTGGTCTCTCCCGACGTATTCGACGTATGAGGGTCAAGCAGCTCAGTTCCTAGGAACCGACAGCCCAGACACCAGAACATATGATATGATTATAGTGGTGAAGGCTATGTTCAGAGCCAACCATACTTTTTGAAGGGCCGAATACAAAGACCTGGTGCACTACGTGCCACAAGGTCCCCAAACGACCCTCCGCAAGTGTTGAATTCAGAGTTGTCCTCCTACCAGTTGCTATATAAGGCTATAGATATATAGTCTGTCCTGCTATTTACCCATAGATGGAGGGAAAAGAAGAGGATTAATACTTTTCCCAATATATATATATATATATATATATATATATATATATATATATATGAAGAAAAAATACAGAAAAAACAAACAAAAATTTTAACATGCAATTATGCTGTATTAATGTTAATATAAAGTCGACGTCGGACGTTTCGGTCTATTTAAGACCATCTTCATGGACATTTTCATTTAAACATAATTAACATTAGAACATATAAAAATGTAACACAAAAGACGATGGACATAAGAGCACAACTAATCCAAACAGATAACTGAAATTTTTATACAATATCAGCGTTCCGTTTAAATATGATCACGTTGTCGTCACGTGGGCGATGTTGTGAAAATGTATTCGAAGATGATTTCCAAATATTAAAATATTAAAAAAGTCGATTGAACTATTTTATATAAACAGTTCAAGAAATCCCTTCCGTTGAATATAGGAATACGTAGAGATTAATAGGTTCTTATATCTTCATACAAGCTTGAAGTCCTCCCGTTACCAAAGCAAATCAAAAATGATTTCAAAAAAAACGATGGAACAGTTCTAAAAACAGTTCGATAATAAATCCTTTCCTTACTTGATCAATAGATTCATATATTCTCCTTCAAGCTTGAAGTCTTCCATGTTATAAAGTAAATTCAGGTTTGTATTTCCAGTAGACAGTATGTAAGCAAATAAATAGATCGAAACGTCCGACGTCGACTTTATATTAACATTAATACAGCATAATTGCATGTTAAAATTTTTGTTTGTTTTTTTCTGTATTTTCTTCATACTGTCGGATCTATATCCATATATTTGCTTACACACACACACACACACACACACACACACACACACACACACACACACACACAATATATATATATATATATATATATATATATATATATATCCTTAGGTGTAAGTAAAACAGATCCCCAAACAACCCTTCGAAGGTTTCGAAATCAAAGACCAGTTGCCATACAAGAACCCAGTCTGTCCTGCTATTTACGCATAGATGATGGGGGGAGAAGAAGAGGATTAATACCTTTTCCAAGGGTATTAGCACGTAAGTGAATCTAATGTATTCGACTATATAGATATAATTTAGGAATAAAGCAAATTTAGTGCTACTATAGCGTGAGGCCTACCTCAATATGTTGTCTACCCAGATGCAGTGCGGAGGTCTACTGTGCTCCCTCACGTGGCCATCAGGTCAGGTGGGGTTATGAATCAGGTCCGGTGAGGTCATGGATCAGGTGAGGTGAGGTGAGCTCTAACATGGATATTTATATCTGCCTCGCATTTTTTTAAACACGTGACCTATCCATATAAAATAAAGCAAATGAAGCTCCTGAATAAGAATCCTCCTCGGCCTGAACCAGTTAATAAATATTTCAGAACTTCACGGTACTTCAAAATGTTGCTGAAGGAGTTTCATAGAAGGTTTACATAAAACAGATTTAAATAAATATGTATACACAAATACAATTATACTAGAGTTCGATGCTGCGGTGGACCTCACGCTATAGATGCGATGAGAGGTAGACCTCACGCTATAGACGAAATAGGAGGTAGACCTCAAGCTATATTGAAGTAGACCTCACCCAATATTGATGTATACCTCACGCTATATTGAGATAGACTTCACCCTATATTGATGTAGACCTCGCCCTATATTGATGTAGACCTCACGCTATATTGATGCAGACCTCACGCTATATTGAGGCAGACCTCACGCTATAGTGAGGCAGACCTCACGCTACAGAAGCACCGCAAATTTTTATTACACTTATTCAAGAATACTAAAATTATTGTGCATCACATTGCACGTTATCATTTTGAAAGGAAAATAATTCAAAGAAATGCTTAAAAATATTTAATTTAAAAAACTTCCAAATAGCCACTTGATGGTCATCTTAGTTTTCAGCTTTTTTTTTTTTTTTTGCTTCACTCTGCTCTCATCAGCACTGTGATTGTTTTTAAAGCCATGTTTTAACGAAAGGAGTGACATCCCATATCTTTAACGGGAGACCAATAAGATTATTATCAAGTTTGCTGCATTTTCCACTGTAAAGCGGCTTCTTTTATCTGAGTATATAATATTCCTTCTTGAAAAAACTCTTTCTGCATCCGAAGAACTGATAGCAATCGTATTGATAATAGTTTTCGCTTTTTGTACACTTTGAAGAATTATAAGATTATGAAAGTTTTTCAGGACATTTTCCACACAGTCACAAAAATAATGGCAATGTTGTCATGAAAATTTTTATTGGTGCCATTTAGTTTTTCTTCCGCAGCTTTCCAAGGAATAACCATTTCATGAATATTCTAAGTATCTGGCTCTTGCAAGTTCAACAGTTCATGAAATTTATATTAACCTTTCTACAATCACCTGAATTTACATCCACAACCGATTATGTGACTACAGTTTATAGACAATCTAAAATTAACAATTTGATTGTTCGAGTTGTAGCTAGCAACGGGTTTGTTGATCTCATAAAATTCTAAGAACAGGTCCGCGTCGAATACAATTACTGATTGTCATGCATGGCGCCAAACTCATTTTAAAAGATCTAAACTCTATAGAAATGTATTCTGAGATCAAAAGATTAAAATGGCTTCGAGCGAATGAAACCTGTCGGTCGTTGCGAGGACGAACCTTCTTCAAACCACATGGGCTGGCGCTACATAATCACATAGAACTGTAACAGATAACACAAACCACATCACTTGGCGACTTTCAATAACAGCAATAACTAAAATGTACATATTATTCGACGAGAAAATTAAAAAAAATAATCAAGGGGTTAACTTTCCACTCTACTTCAAACAAAAGGTTAGGAAGGAAACACCCACCAATACTGGAAAGTTTGTTTGTGTTGCAGCTAGCAACGGGTTCGCTGAGCTCATAAAATTCCAAGAACAGGTTTGTGCGAACTGAAATCCCGCCACCGCATGAATCCCACCGTTGAATCCCTCCACTGCATGAATCCCATCGCTGAATCCCTCCACTGCATGTAACCCACCACTAATTTCTTCCACTGCATGAATCCCATCGCTGAATCCCACCACTGCATGAATCCCCATGCTGAATCCCTCCACTGCATGAATCCCATCGCTGATTTCTTCCACTGCATGAATACCAACGCTGAATGCCTCCACTGCATGAATCCCATCGCTGATTTCTTCCACTGCATGAATCCCATCGCTGAATGCCTCCACTGCATGAATCCCACCGCTCATTTCTTCCACTGCATGAATCCCATCGCTGAATCCCTCCACTGCATGAATCCCACCGCTGAATCCCTCCACTGCATGAATCCCACCGCTGAATCCCACCACTGCATGAATCCCCACGCTGAATCACTCCACTGCATGTATCCCACCACTGATTTCTTCCACTGCATGAATCCCATCGCTGAATCCCACCACTGGATGAATCCCCATGCTGAATCCCTCCACTGCATGAATCCCATCGCTGAATCCCACCACTGCATGAATACCAACGCTGAATGCCTCCACTGCATGAATCCCATCGCTGATTTCTTCCACTGCATGAATCCCAAAGCTGAATCCCACCACTGCATGAATCCCCATGCTGAATACCTCCACTGCATGAATCCCAACGCATGAATCCCATCGCTGAATCCCACCACTGCATGAATCCCTCCATCATGAATCCCAACGCTGAATCCCACCACTGCATGAATCCCATGCTGAATCCCTCCACTGCATGAATCCCATCGCTGAATCCCACCACTGCATGAATCCCAACGCTGAATCCCTCCACTGCATGAATCCCATCGCTGAATCCCAACACACATGAATCCCCATGAATCCTCCACTGCATGAATCCCAACGCTGAATCTCAACACTGCATGAATCCCATCGCTGAATCCCTCCACTGCATGAATCCCAACGCTGAATCCCAACACTGCATGAATCCCACCGCAGATTTCTTCCACTGCATGAATCCCATTCGCTGAATCCCTCCACTGCATGAATCCCAACGCTGAATCCCTCCACTGCATGAATCCCCCGTTTAATCCACTGCTGAATCCCTCCACTGCATGAATCCCAACGCTGAATCCCAACACTGCATGAATCCCACCGCAGATTTCTTCCACTGCATGAATCCCATTCGCTGAATCCCTCCACTGCATGAATCCCAACGCTGAATCCCAACGCTGAATCCCTCCACTGTATGAATCCCACCGTTTAATCCCTCCACTGCACGAATCCCAACGCTGAATCCCTCCACTGCATGAATCCCAACGCTGAATCCCTCCACTGCATGAATCCCAACGCTGACTCCCTCCACTGCATGAATCCCATCGCTGAATCCCACCACTGCATGAATACCAAGGCTGAATCCCTCCACTGCATGAATCCCACCGCAGATTTCTTCCACTGCATGAATCCCATCGCTGAATCCCTCCACTGCATGAATCCCAACGCTGAATCCCAACGCTGAATCCCTCCACTGCATGAATCCCACCGCTGAATCCCTCCACTGCATGAATCCCAACGCTGAATCCCTCCACTGCATGAATCCCAACGCTGAATCCCACCACTGCATGAATCCCAACGCTGAATCCATCGCTGAATCGCTGAATCCTCCATTGCATGAATCCCACCGCTGAATCCCTCCACTGCATGAATCCCAACGCTGAATCCCTCCACTGCATGAATCCCATCGCTGAATCCCACCACTGCATGAATCCCAACGCTGAATCCCTCCACTGCATGCAATGAATCCTCCGTGCATGAATCCCACCGCTGAATCCCTCCACTGCATGAATCCCATCGCTGAATCCCTCCACTGCATGAATCCCATCGCTGAATCCCACCACTGCATGAATCCCACCGCTGAATCCCACCACTGCATGAATCCCAACGCTGAATCCTCCACTGCATGAATCTGAATCCCAACGCTGAATCCCTCCACTGCATGAATCCCATCGCTGAATCCCTCCATTGCATGAATCCCACCGCTGAATCCCTCCACTGCATGAATCCCATCGCTGAATCCCACCACTGCATGAATCCCACCGCTGAATCCCACCACTGCATGAATCCCAACGCTGAATCCCTCCACTGCATGAATCCCATCGCTGAATCCCACCACTGCATGAATCCCAACGCTGAATCCCTCTGCATGAATCTCGTCGCTGAATCCCTCCACTGCATGAATCCCACCGCTGAATCCCTCCACTGCATGAATCCCACCGCTGAATCCCTCCACTGCATGCAGCTCTGTATAACTTTGAACTTTTTACCATCTTTCATTGTTCCTGCACTAATATCCATTCACACAACAAACTCCTTAGTAAATTGCTCGTTACTTACCTTAATACATCCTTCTCTTTAATATGCCATGTAAGTATTACATTTTCCGAGCCCTCTTTCCGCATAATATCCAATAAATTTCAATTGTCCTTTTCTGATTTTAAGTATGCGTGTATTTCTCGTTCCCGTCTTTTTTTTTAAATACCATCGGGGCTCACATGTCCAGTCTATAGTGTTCTCGGTCTCCATCTATAGAATCGCATCTGTCGCTTCGATCTTCTTCATCTATCTAGAGATTAGCCAAAAAACAAGGCTAGATATGAGATAGCAGTTCGATACTTTTTTTCCTTGTTTCAAACGAAGATTTTTTTTCTATTTCTTATTTGTTTGCTTAGTTCCTGAAAGACATCTTTCGTTATTCTGATGCGTATTCGGTTATTTCTGTCACATTTTTCGTCGTCCGTCACAGCACTCCCCAAACAATTCAATTTTTGTGGGTCCTCTTGGTTCTGATGCCTCCATTTCAAAACTTGAAGACAACAATACAGTTTGTCTTCTTACTGTTAATGATTAGTTCCTTTTCGCTTTTTCGGATTTCCTTCTGAGTCTGCCATTAACAAAATCATCGTATCATATCTTACGCTGTTAAAATTATAGTCACCGATAATAAATTATTGTATGTTTTCTTGCTCTCTATGATTGCCTTCCTGTACAGGAGGAATAAATCCAGTGGGTAAACGCATCCTCGCCTTACACGTCTTTCTACGCGTTTAACCTATTTCTTATTGAGGTGCTTTTTTTTCAAGCAAATGCTGCGCATTATTCTAATATCTTTCCAATATAAAATCAAGTTTCCTAGTAGTTCAAATAAGTCTTTGTGCCATATCTTATCAAATGCTTTTGTGTAATCTATGAAGCATATTTTCTGTATTTATATTGCTTGATCTGGCCGCATTCAGATATTACATATAGCATTTCTTAGTTCCAGTGAAGTGAAAGAAGTCACGTGGTTTTTTTCCCTATTTCTGGTTTGATTCGCTTTGAACTTAATTCTGATTATAAGCTTAATTATCTGGTTCATTAAGCTTATTGTTCTTTGGTGTTTGCATTCAATTGCGCTTTACTTTTTTGGCATTGTTATAAAGATAAAATAACTAAGATCTTCCGGTATTTCACCGCTGTTATATATTTCGTTTATGATTTCAGTAATCATATCGATCCAGAAATTGTCTAAGTCTTTCAGCACCTCAGATACAATTGCACCTAGTTTTTCTAGATTGTTGCTGTTCATATTAACCAGTGCTGATCTTAACTCAGATTTAACTTTGCATGTTCTTCAATGTTTTTATGCATTACGTGTCCCTCGTATTTCGTTGTGAAATAGTTCTCCAATGTATTTGTTCTGTCTTTGAAGCAGTTTTACTTTTTCTGTTACTAGTCTTTCTTTTTAAAATTTTATACATCCTGTCGAAAGCATATCTTCTGTCCTGCTAATTATTTTATTTAAAAAGATTATTTTTGTAAGAAGCGACATTTAATATAATAAACTCATGGATAATTACACATTTCGCCGTTAAATTTCTAGAAAAATAACCGGTCAATCACTTTACAATGCTTCAGGAACAGAGGAATTGTCAGATTTCTAGAAGGTTGCATAGATGGCCACTTCGAAATTAAAATGAATCAACGTCAAGTAAGACGAGAGTGAGGAAATGCTTTGTCAGTGGAAATCTTTGACGGGGCATTTAACTAATGAAGGAAAGAAAGCCACTAGGTGTCATTCGGGCATATCTGGACAATTGGAAATTTTGTTTTCATGCGGTGAAATTGGAATTTGAAGAAAAACATTTTTCAAATCTGCAAGCACGAAAGAACGCGCTTAATTCAGCTTAAGACCGAAAACACAGTATCTTCATCCCATCTTGTTTTATTCCGTGGCAGAAGGTAGGTATTTTTTTAAAATTCAACCTCTAATCAACAGAGAAAGTCGCAAGCATTTCAGTTGGTGGGCAGAGGCTTGCAACTTGAGATGATTATCATATCTTAAAATTTGTTATGGGATCTACACACATAATAATAATAATAATAATAATAATAATAATAATAATGGACTATTCCATACTTAAATACTGCGCCTCATGAGTAGGCAAGGAGTCAGTCAGTAGTTCAAGTCGAGTCAAGAGTCGAGTCAGAGGCAGTCCGAAACAGAGTCGCGTTCAGACAATTACTGCAAGACATTGGAATAGTGATACTGGTCGAGACTACATTGTTCTCTCGACTAAACCTGATTGTTCATACTAACACTTCTACTTCTTCTGTACATATTCCTGTTTGTAATAAATCTGTTATTCCATACCTGTGTTCACGTTCTTCTTTATTGGTTCTACCTTGGACTATCACCGTAGTACAAGGAATCGGACCATAACAAAATCAAATATCATTTACTCATTCCTTGAAAAATAGAAGAACATGTCTGAATTTTAAAATTAAAAAGGCATGAATCCACAAAATCCGTGTACTCAATCTCATTGATCTTTGTCTTATCGATAAAATTTTATGATAGAAAAAAAAGAAAAAATATATCACGAAGGCAATTCTACGCAAATTTCGCAAACTCTCAAAAAATCAATATCTGTCTATATTTCTGAGATGAGGAATCGTAATGATTTAATCTATTTACATTGTTCGGACTGTTGTTCTCATCTTCGTTGTCACATTCACGAGGTTTCAGCCGTTGTACGCACTAGCCTTCTTCAGGATCTGTCTATATTTCTGAGATGCGGTATTGTAATTATTTACACTATTTACATTGTTCGGAATGCTGTTTTCATCTTTGTTGTCCCATTCACGACGCTGTACGCTCCAGCCTTCTTCAGGAGTCCGGAACGTCGAACCGAAATGAACCCTTTATTTCATCCACCGGGTTAGATTGATCTAGTTTCACGTGCCATGCTTCTTCTAGATATCTCAGTTTCAGACATTTCCCTTCAATTCAACTCTCCAAGTTTGTTTGATAATTTTTTTTTACCAGTATTGAACTGACAACTCTCTCTGGGTCAAGTCACTGGATCATGTGTCCTTGGGGACATCACTGTAGGACTCTTTGGGACTTGTAAGCCTAATGTCTCAGTAACCATTTTTACCGGAGCTCATATTACAATTTATTGCTATGATTGCTTTTCTCTAGTACTTCGTATTACTGAAGAAGGTCGGAGCGTATAACGACCGTTACGTCATGAATATGGCAACAAAGATGTGGACAGCAGTCCGAACAATATAAATATTGCAAATAAACAAAAAAAAAAACAATTATTAAAAATCGATACCATTATAAAAAATTGGTC